TTCTTGAGGAGGGAAGGAAGGGAGGTAGGTGGGATCAGGCTGAAACGGCACTACAAGAGCAGAAACCTGGTCAACAACAGATATGTGTCTGCTGGAAGAAGCAACATGGGACAGATGTAGAGGTGGGAAAAAGAGGGGAATGAAGAGGAAGAGGGGAATGAAGAGGGAGAGGGGAAAGAGAGGGGGGGAGACAAGCAAGCCAAGGGTATATGGCAAGTACAGAGAGGGGGGACCAAGGTGGGGGGGGGGGGGAAGGCAGAGGAGAGAGAAGGGGGGAATGAATGGGTAAAGGACAAGAGGGCAATTGTGGTGCAGCCGAAGGAGGGGACTTGGTGGCTGTTTGAGGGGACGTAGCAACCAAGGGATGGGGTAGAAGGGGGTGGGGGTGGGGGTGGGGGTGGGGGTGGTGGGTGGGGGCGGGGGCAGATCTCGGGGAATGGCGATGAGAGGCAAGGGATTGGGGGGGATGAGGGTTGGAGATCGTTCGATGAGGATCTTGATTAGCCCTCAGATTGGGTTTCTATCGGCTACGATGATTGCGACACGAGCGGCGCTTGAAGACTATGGTCCAAGAATCATGGACCACAAGAGGGAAATGATTGTGCTCCGCAGGGGGGCCGTGCTCCACAGGGGGAACATGGCGGGTGGACAGTGGGAGGTGGAGGTCCAGGAGAGGAAGATGCGAAAGAAAGAGCCTTCCACTTCCAAGTGTGAAGTGGGATGGAGGAAGCAGTCAGCCAGACTCGTTGTCTTTTGAAGCCATTCAGCTTGGCCGACCATCGAGAGGAGGATAGCTTGGCACCCTTGAAGGAGAGACAGTTGAAATTCTTGAAGGCTCTAAGGGCACTATTTTCATAAGGGAAGGAAAAGAGTGGACCCGTCTAAAAGTTTCCCGCAACCCAGGTCAGGCTCCTACCAAATGTGTTGGCCCCATTTCTCAATGCCTCTAAAATCGTCTTTGCATGGTTGGAAAACTCCCAATAAGAAGAGAGAAGTTGTTGTTTGGGTTTTAAGGTCCCAACAGCAAAAATAGAAAAAAGTTTGGGATTAGGCGAGAGGGAGTGGTAAGTTAGAAAGGGGGGTGGAGGAGGATGGAGGGAAGGGAACATAAGAAAGGGGTAAAGAAGGAGGCTGTGAAGAAACAAAGGGAATAGGGGGGTTGAATGAGGTGGGCGTAATTTGCATAAGGCAGTGGAGGGGTCATGCCCACCCAACCCCAAGAGATTGCAGAGAAGCTTACTCAGGTGGACTCTAAACAATTTTTTAAGACAAAGGACATTCTAGCTTTCAGATTTTTGAGTTAGTGTATCCCCAATCCCCACATAATTGTTTTAGAGGGCAATTGACCAAGTTGCCCCTCTTCCAAAACCAAAGAACAACATAGAGGGGTTCGAATTGGATGGCTTTAATTTCTTCTACGATTTCCCTCCCACTATCTTTAACCCACTCTCTCTATCTTCTGCACGCTCCCCACCTCATTCCAGCTTTTAGATTTTTGAGTTTTAGTGTATCCCCAACCCCCACATCATTGTTTTAGAGGGCAATTGACCAAATTGGCCCTCTTCCAAAACCAAAGAACAACATAGAGGGGTTTGAATTGGGTGGCTCTAGTTTCTTCTACGATTTCCCTCCCACTATCTTTAACCCACTCTCTCCATTTCCATCACGCCCCCCCCCAAAGTCCACCAGCTCTTCTTTTTTCTCTCCCAAATTCCACCACCCAACACATTTTGCCCTCCTCAGCCACCCAAAACCTCTCCCTCTCTCCTCACTCACCCAACTAAATTTCGTCCACCTTCGGCCACCCAAAACCTCTCCCTCCCCCCTCCTCTCTCTCTCTCT